TCAATAATAAATTATTTAGGACTGAGCTTGATCTAGTTAAAAATCAAGGCCCTATGACTCTGCTATACAATAATATACTGCTATACTATGCTATACATTACAATTCTATTTGCTATATTCTACTTTACCATATTATATGTTACTATATTTGAAGTTGCTTTATATAACTATCTAATATATACTATATTGTATATTATACACTTATAATACTGCTGGACTATACTATATGACAATGCTAGGTAATGTGGATCTCTGTTACTTAGGATCTCAGTCACTAATAGGAAGGATTGAGATTTCTAACTTTGAAAAGTGCGGAGTGTCATTCCCTTACCCTGAGTATAGGAGAGAGATTCCTTAGCCAAAATGATCCCTTGATTGGAAGATCCCCTTACCTGTGGTTTGGATTGACTAGTTGGGAATCTAGAATGACCCTTGGGAAGAGAGAGAGTTGCGTTTACCATCCCAAAAAAGTGTTGAGCATCTCATGAGGGAGTCTCGTGCTGTTATGTCTTAGCTTATCATTTTGATGTCTATAAATATTCTCATGGTTGTGAATGGTATAAAAGGAATCAAGGTTTCATCTACAATATTGGTCATTGGATCCATTGATGGAATAGTATAGTGTTTTGGATTGCTAGGCATGATGGTATCATCCATTGATGGAATAGTATCTTGTTTTGGATCGGTGGGTATGATATCCTTTGATCTTCGAGTCACGATTTTTATGGGCATGTGAGGCATGTTACATGGATGATATCTTGTAATGTTTAATTGGAGGAATTATCCATTTAGGGCCAGTTTGGATGTCAAATAAAAAGAAATTGTTATCCAATAAAAATACAGTTTTTCAAATACCAATTGCAAAAAATGCCAAGCCTTTTTTCTTTTTTATAAAGCCGTTTGGGGGTTGAAGTCCATTTTTCTCTCTGCAATGCTCTCTCCCTTAACAAGAAGGGGATAACTACGCAATTAACGTGTCTCTCTCACCTTGCTGCGTGTTTCTCCCTCTAACCTTGATGCAACGTCAAATCCAGGAATAGAAGAATGGAGCAAACTTTAATGGTGAATTAAAGATCTCCTTGCTTCCCTTTTCTCTTCTTCCCTCCCCTTTAACAAGAGACCTAAGCTAGCAAACCCTAATGGTGAATTAAAGATCTCCTTGCTTCCCTCTTCTCGTCTCCCCTTTAACAAGAGACCTAAGCTAGCAAACCCTAATGGTGAATTAAATATCTCCTTGCTTCCCTCTTCTCTTCTCTGCTATGACAAGAGGCCCAAGCTCCTGTTATTGTTGTTGTTCTTCTCTCATCTTCTCTGCCTTATTTGAGCTTCCTCTTTTACCTCTGTTTTGGAGGTATGATGAGAGTCTGCCCCTAGCTTTAGAAGAGAGAGAGAGAGAGAGAGAGAGAGAGAGAGAGAGAGAGAGAGAGAGAGGAGTGTCGTCGTCGTAGTAGAGACGAAGTAGTAGTAGAGAGAGTAGTAGTTAGGTTAGTAGTAGTAGTAGAGAGAGAGAAGTAAGTAACGAACGTACGTAC